TTTTTTTTTTGAAAAAATTGCAAAAAATTTTGTGCAATTTTTGAAGTCAGCGCCATCTGTTGATGTAAAAAAGCTAAAAACGTTCATTTTTCCTTTCCCGAAATTTAAAACGGCAAGTCCAAAAAGAACGTTACCCAAATTATTTCTCTCTGTGAAGTGAGTTGTCTTTTGACAACAAAAAAAAACTTCTCATATAATACGTAATACATTTTTCTCAAGAAATTTTCTTCCGTTTGATCTTTAATTGTTCAATTGTGTGGAAAAAACTGTATAAAATCAAAGTAAAAAAAAATACACACGTGGTTTAAGATTTTTCAGAAAATTCAGAATACATTTATTCAATGTTTGTGTCTTGTAATCGAATGAATTTGAAAATTTAGAACATTTAGAATACAGGACCGAGAAATACTAAATCGAACAAAAACTCGATAAAGTTCGAAACTTCGAACTCAATTTTCTTGATGTTCGGCTTCTTTACACAATTTTGAATTTTGAAAAGAAATTGAAAAAACAAAAATTGGAACTAAAAAAATCAGTTTAAAACATTTAAAAATTATATTTCAATGACATTTATATTTGGAATGTTTGTTGTTCAATCGTTCGGATATTTTGATCGAAATATTTTATCTATTGGATAATTATTCAAATGTTAATTGAAAGAAAAAATGATTATTAACAGGAAAATATATCTTCCAAAAAAAAGAACGTATATCTTAAACAAAAAAAAAACATTTTTGAATATCAAATACACCAATAAATTTATGAATATTTGTTCTTTTTGAAATGTTAATAATAATAAATATGATAATCACCATTTGACGACATCTAAATTTCCTTGTTTTTTAATTAATAATTATCTCTTTTTACATATATATAATTATGAATGAATATTCATTTCTTTCACACTCAAGCCAAGGTTATTTCAATCGATCGAGAATCTTTTATCTAAATATTCTTCATCATCATCATCATTATAATCAGTCACTTTCTTTTGTTTTTTTGTTTTGTTTTTGTTTTTTTGATTATAAATGTTTTGAAGAATGTCACGATTAGATCTTCAAAATCGAACCCTAAGAATTGGATTCAACAATGTAAATATTATCAAATTTTTTATTTGGAAATTTTCTTTTGTTTTTTTCACGTTAAAAAATTATCTTTTCTCCTGAATAAGAAACCACCAATAACCAATATATATGGATGGGATGAATCAATGCAAACATATCGGCATATTTATGGTACCGATCCATTTGTTCTGAATTTGTTGGCAAGATATTTTAATTTTACCTATAAATTGATTGACTATCATAGAGATTATGGATCATTATCATCGAATGGATCATGGACAGGAACAATTGGTCAATTAGCCAGAAATGTATGAATGATAAATAATGATGGTTTTGAAAAACGTTTACTTAATATGATTTAAACTTTTAAGGAACTTGATTTAGGTATCGGTGGTTATGCCATTACATATGAACGTATAAATGTTATAAAATTTCTACATCCACATCTATTTGGTCAACATACATTTGCAATGGCCAAAATAACAACTTTACCGGATTTTGATATATTTTTCAAACCATTCGAATCAATTGTATGGTTATGTTTGCTAATAACATTAATTCTATCATGTTTATTATATTTGGTTATCAAATATTTACTACCATTCAAACATATAAATCTGATTATATGTAGCCTGAATATGTTATTACAACAATCCTATCCAATACGTAAAGATCATCTGATAAGTAATTCGGCAAAAATTTGGTTATTTAGTTTTGCTATGATGAGTATTGTATTGATAAATATTTATCAATCATATCTATTTTCAATATTAACCATAACAAAATCAAATGAAATCAATAATATTGAAAAACTGGCCGAATCATGTCAAAAACATCAAACAATACCATATACAATTAAAAATAATTATGCTTATGAAATAATTCGTCATGATAATCCAAATAGTTCAATAAATACGATAACTAAATATATGAAATTTGTTGCAAATTATGAAGATGGTATCAAAATGATTCAAAAATCAAATTCTGTTGTATTCATAACTTCACGAGTTTTACTTTTACTTAGTCAACGATATTTAGGTCAAGATCAATTATATATACCAATGGAAAGTCAAGATACAAATTTTTTAACCATTGTAGGATCAATAATATGTCGTCCAACATTTGAATATCAAAATGAATTTAATCGAATGTAAGTTTATAATAGAAATTTTGAAAAGGATTTGAAAAAAAATATTGTATTTTGTTCATCATTTTACTCTACAGAATTTCTTACTTAATGAACAGTGGTATTATTTTAAAAATCGAAAAACAAGAATTGGAACAAATTAGAGATAAAAATCAACATATACGACCATCATTTGAATTGAATCATCATCATAATCATGATGAAATTATTCATATTGATCCTTTTCATCAAATAACAAAAATCAATTTAAAACATTTAAAAATTATATTTCTATTACATTTATTTGGAATGTTTTTATCGTTTTGTTGTTTGATTGTTGAATATTTTGGCCGAAAT